TCACAGGCAGGGCTTCCCCGGTCCCAAGTCCGGGCACGCAACCACAACGTGGTACAACGCATCTCTCTGCCTATTCTCTGGCTAGGCTTCTTTAAGAACTTAGTGCTGCAGGCAGGGGCTCTTTTAGTAACAGGTTGCGTGGAGGTGAGGGTTGCGCCCATCGCCAGGGGCGCTGGACTGAACAAGTTGAGCGAGATCCTTTATACCGCAGGTGCAGGAACACATGGTGCAATGATGATCACAGGTCGATACATGTGCTCCTTGATCGAAGGCATATCTACATGGATGGCGGGGGTGGCCAGGTTCACTCTATGTCTCAGTGCGGTACAGTTTTCTTTTCATTACTCTCAGTCAGCTACGGAGTCGCGGCGCAGGATGATGCGGGATAGATTGAGGTTCAGGTCCCAGTGGCAGCATGCAAAACCTCGGATTTTGTGGTGGCTTCTTGTTTTTACCCTGGTCCCAGGTGTGTGGTCGCATCGCGAGTCGGCGCCGCAGGAAGGCATGCGCTCACAAGAGGGGAGATCTTTGATGACGCAATGGTCAGGTCCATCATGGATTCGAAAGAGGGCCTACAACAGGGCAGTAAGGAGGGCACAGGCCAGCAGCGCACAGACGACACTTTATCGGGGGCGAGTATGTTCTTTGCAGCAGCTTCAAGCCCGAAGACTGTGCATCGGAGGCTTACGGGACAGATCTTCGTGGACCCATGGGAGCCGTGATCGTCAGAGCCTCATATGCATGACATGGAATGCGGGGGGTTTGACCTCCGGCACCCTGGAGGAGTTCCTTCATTGGATAGAGACTATGCCTTCTCGAAGGCGCCCAAATGTGATCTGTATCCAGGAGACGCACTGGAGTTTCGAAAATTCGGAATGGACCAGTGGGGGTTGGCACCATGTGCATTCAGGTGTGACGGGGCGTCCAGATCGCTACGCCGGCATCCTGACCCTGATCAAAGCACCGGGCCTTACCAAGGATTCCATACGTGTTCGTCGAGTTTCGCAGGGACGTTTAGATCATGTGCGGTTTGAGTGGCAGTCCAACACTTTTGATGTGATCAACTTCTATCAGAAGGCCGTGTCGTTCACACAAGCGGCGGATGCATACGCGAAGCGAGCCTCTCTGCTAAAGCATGTTTCTTCATTGATTGGAGGGCTGCCACAGCGGAATGTGATGCTCATGATGGGGGATTTCAATGTTCAGTTGTACCCAGACCATCCACAAGTTGGGCCATGCACGACCCTTGGTAGAGATGGAGAACAAATTTCCAAGGATGGGGAGAAGCTGCAGGAGCTGTTGCGATCACACAAACTCACCGTGCTGAACACGTGGGCATGCAAACATCCGGCCACTTATCAGCATCTACAACATCGCAGTCAGATCGACTACATCATTATGAGACAATCACAATCTAGAGGACCAGCCAAATCCGCTAGGCCCGAGCATAGAGGCGAACTGGCCAGGTGGAAGGACACAAGGCATCATCCGGTTTTGGCGGAAGTGGTACCGCCGACAGGGGGGCACAGGCCCACTGCAAGCAAAGAGCACGCGTGGAAGATTGATACGACAACACTTCGCAAAACCCATGATGCAGATCCTCGACTTGTTCACCTACAGACACAACTAAGACATGCAGCTACCGACATAACCATCAACACGTACCACTTGCTACCTGGCATTGTTGGGAGATTGGCCCAGAATGCTTTTCCGAGACAAGGCGAGCCTCGATTGGCTAAGTGGCAGGAGAAGTCGATGACCAAAATTGTCGACAAAATGTGGTGGTATTACCGCTGCTCCAAAGGCAGGGATTCACTAGACGGGGTCACGTTGCCGACAATCTTTCAACGATGGCATGCCCATGCTCGCTTCATGCATTTACGCGCACTGGCCAAGGCGCATGGACGCACACTACAAAAACAGCGGTTTGAAGAGGTCTTATCTCAGGCTGAACAGGCAATGCGCAGCGGCGATCAACAAGCCCTACACCAACATG